ACGCGGCATGTACCCTCTATAATTTTAAGTAACTTACTGGATTTTATTAGTAGATATTCTGTACACATTAAATAAACTTAAAGTTAAATTAGAGTGCACTTAAAATTTATATGTAGTATATTTCCAAAAATGCACATTGTAAGCGTACTTTAGTAGTTCGTGTATAATACGGCGATAGTGCAGTCTCAATACAACTCAGGCGTGCTTAAGTACGTGTACTAGATTTTCTATCTAAACGTGCACTTTCAGTAGGAAGTGCGAGTACACTTTTTTACATTTAAAGTGTACTTTCAGTAGGCTGCCGTATTAAAATATATTTTTAGTGTCCCAAGTAGTACAGTGTGGACATCAAAATGGGGGCCAATGAGAGTCTGTCGTGGGCAGCCCACGTGGATTCCAAGTTGGCTTTGAAACTTGAGCCAAATCGGCCAGACTTGGGCTGCCAACCGGGCTTCCCTCGTGGGACCCACAGTGGGCTTACTTGAGCGGCCCACAAGACCCCTTCCTCGTGGGACCTGCAGGGGGCCTACTTGGGAAGCCCACCTAGGTGTCTGTGGAGGGACCTCTAATACAAAGTGGGCTCTGAAAGAGGGGCCGACGTGGGTCCCACTTGGGCAGCCGACGTGAGTTCCTCTTCTTGTACCGCTCGTAAGAGGCCTAGGTGGGCAACCCACGTGGCCAGCTCACATGAGGTCGCCCCGGGAAGCTCATTTCGTTCCGAGTCATTTCATCATTTTTTACGGTGTGGGGTATTGCAGTGCATACCAAATTGAGCATGCCTCTATTTCTCTGTGACCCCTCTGGAAATATTACCATTTTGATAGATCAATAAACGTTTTGAGCAAGCCCATAAAAAACTAGGCATTTTAAGTGCACGAAAGAGAAAAGAAAAAAAATGAAAGCCATTTACAACTCCCTGTAACACCGAATTAGAGAGCAGCTCTTGAGGAGGAGGAGGGAAGGGTACTGAGGGTTACCTGTTCTCGGGGCGGGGGGGAGGGGTCATTTAGCGGGGAAATTTTTCCGCTAGATTTAGCGGGTTAAGTTTTTCCGCTAGATTTAGCGGGGCATTTTTCCCGCTAGATTTAGCGGAGAAATTTTTCCGCTAAATTTAGCGGAGAAATTTTTCCGCTAGATTTAGCGGAGAAATTTTTCCGCTAAATCTAGCGGGGAAATTTTTCCGCTAGATTTAGCGGGGAAATTTTTCCCGCTAGATTTAGCGGGGAAATTTTTCCCGCTAGATTTTTCCGCTAGATTTAGCGGAGAAATTTTTCCTCTAGATTTAGCGGGGAAATTTTTCTGCTGCATTTAGCGGGGAATTTTCCCCGCTAGATTTAGCGGGGAATTTTTTCCGCTAAATCTAGCGGGGAACATTTTTCCGCTAGATTTAGCGGGGAAATTTTTCAGCTAAATTTAGCGGGGAAATTTTTCCGCTAGATTTAGCGGGGAAATTTACCCATAATGCACCGCGCGGTTACGCCGACGGCGACGGCGACGACGACGCCGCTCAAGCCGGAAACGGGCCCCTAAGAGCTGCGCTCTAAAACGGTGCACATTTACATATAAAAGTTTGGCAGACAGGTAATCGGGATACATAGTCAGCTTGAGCCGCCTATACAGACACCGATTTTTAGAATCGATAAGATAAGACATTCTGATGAGCGTGTTTCGAATTCACCCTCAAATGAAATACTCTGCGTAAAAAATCCCACCCCCCACGACAGACGACCTTCTTAACGCACACTTTAAGTAATAAATTAGTAATAACGATCAGCAAGGATAGAAGTTTTCAAATTGCAAGCAGTGATAAAGTGCAGGCGAGCTGGTAATTAATCGACATATTGTCAACCCTGAGATGGGGAACTATAAAAGATTTTGTTGTGTTCGTCCGTTTTTTTTATCGTTCTCCATCTCAGAATCTGCAAGATGTCGAAGTTTTCACTATTATAATTACAATCCTCGCTGATTCGGTATCAAATTAAGCGGATTTCCTATGTCGAGTTTATAGAACGTGTAGTAAATATTCTCTATATTAGAGGAAAACGCAGTTCTGGACGTTGCACAGGTAGTCCAAGTTTTTCATGACCATGCTTTGCCACCTTGTAGCCCACACCTACGCTAACTTTGTCCCCGTCTAGCCGAGGTGGGAAACAGGAGGCATGTATGGGCAGCCCAGGTTGGGCCTGCCTACGCTGCGCCCACGTGGAGCCAAGTCTTTGCTAGCTCGGCCCCCGCATAACTGAGGTGGGACCCACGGGTACATTGAATGGGCTGCTCAAGTTGGGCATGCCCAAGCTTTTCCACTGTGTAGCCACATAAATGCTAACTTTACCACTGCTCAACCGAGGCGGAACCATGGGAGCGTTTGCTTAGATAGCCCGAGTTGGCCATGCCCACGCTTTGCCATCGCGGAGCCCGCACCATTGCTAACGTGGCCCAAGCACAGCCAAGGTGGAGCCCACGAGTGTTTAAGTTAGGCAGCCTTAGTCGGGCATGTCCACGCTTTGTCACCGTGGAACCGGCACCACTGCTAACTTAACCCCCGCGGAGCCGAGCAAAACCCAAGGAAGTTTTACATGGGCAACACAAGTCGGTCATGCTCACGCTTTTCCGCTATGGAGCCCTAATCTTTTTTCAAACCTGGGCCATACACAGCCGAGGTGACCCATGGGGGTTTTCTATGGCAGTCCAAGTTGGGTATGTCTACGGTTTGCCACCATAGAAGCCCATCTTCGTAAACTTGGACCCCACAAAGCCTAGTTGAGTCCCAAGGAAGTTTTACATGGCAGCCTATCTCAGACACGCCCACACTTAGACGCCGTTGAGCCCGCAATATAGAATTTGGCCCCCATAAAGCCAAGGTGGGTCCCACGAGGGTTTTATAAGGGTAGCCCAAGTTGGCCATGTCCACGCTTTGCCGCCATGGAGCCTACAGCTTTGCTGAATTGGCTCCCGCAAAGCGAACGATGGACTCACGGGCGTTTTACATGGGCAGCTCAATTTGGGCATGCTCAAGTATGCCCACGCTTCACCGGCGTTGAGCCCAAATTATCTGAACGTAGCCCCCCCCCCCCCCCCCCCCCCCCCTCCCTTCCCTCCGAGCCCAAGTCTCGCGCTTTGCCACTGTGGAGCCCCCTTCGCAAACTTGGCCTCCTGAGAACCGAGGTGAGACCCACGGGGGTTTGACATGGGCAGCCCACCTCGGGCATGCCCACTCTTAATCGCCGTGGTGGCCACAACATCGTTTCTGGCTCCCGTAAAGTCGAGGTGAGTCCAGCGGGGTTTTTACATGGGCCACCCAAGTAGGGCACACCCACGGTTCGCTGCCGTGGAGCCCGCGCCATTGCAACTTGGCTTCTGTTGGGCCGAGGTGAGACCCACAGGGGCTTTACATGGGCAGCCCCAATCGGGCGTGCCCAGGCTTTGCCTGAATCTTCGCTAACTCTGTCCCCGCATTGCAGAGATAGGACCCACGGAGGTATTGCACGGGCAGCCAAAATAGGGCGTGCCCTCGCATAGCCGAGGTGGAAACCACGGGGGTATTGCATGGAAGCCCATACTGGCATGCCCACACTACGCACGCAATAGCCTAATGTGAGTTTCGCATGGGCTGCAAGAGCCCCATTGCCCACGTGGGCTAGACGTGGGCCCCACCTCTTGTGCTACTTGGGGTGTTGCTTTGTACCAACGGCATTAGAAGTAGGTGGACTATAAAAGCTGTTTCTCTACTTATGATTGGGCTGAATTTGCCGGTTGATAAGTGTTTTCTGGTTTTCTAGCTTTCCCCGATTTTGGAGTTTTTGAGCATGCTGGTATCCTGTCTTCGACGCTAAAAAGCTTACCTTTGGACATATGCTTACATAAGCAGAGTGAATAAAACGAATGTTGTATTTATTACTAACTGAACTCATTACTTGGCTTTCTTTATTTTGATCGCATAATGCGCAGCATGTTTCGAATTCAGTGTTAGTGCGTAGTTATTGTCGTTTCCCATGAATTTTCAGGTACCCTTCATTGCTTTGGCATGTAAACCCCTCTGCAGAAAAGCGCCGACGCCGTGCTCGCGCAAACCGTGTCTGACATTGTGCATAAATGCATGCATAAAGCGATTTTTGCAGAGTGTGCAAAGCCATCCTATTGAAAAAAATGTAACCGGACAATATTCTTTTATTTCATGATCAGGAAATGTATAACAAACGATTGTTTCGTAATATTTGCTTTAATATTCAAACGCAGAAAGAAAATGCATCCACGTTTCCCATAGATATGCATTACCAGAAGTAAAGTTTAGAGTCGTCGTCTGCTTCCATTTGAAACCGCACAACAGCGCCAGCTGAATCTCCAGCGTCTATTATAATAACTCAAAGAGCGCGAGATCCTGCTGCCGCAAAACCCTGCCTCGGACAGTGCGCCAGTGATAAGGTGGATTTGGTTTCTTCAAACCACGTCTGAGAGCGGTGCTAGTAATACGACGTGTGGGTGTGTTGTCACGTCGTCTTTCTTTATATTTTGTAGGCTTTCTCTTTATGCTAATAAAAAAAAGAGCGTAAAGCGTATCATTAGCAAACGCCTTATTTGGGTGTTTCTTAATGCGCTCTACAACTATCCAATTCACACCTAGGTCCTTAAATGAATATTTAAAAAGTTAATTAGTATTAATTATTAAAATAACTAGGCACACTAAAAAGGCTTACGCTTTCGTAAAACGCTTGCTACCAATGTTCAGTTGGTTCCGCAATGTACTACGTTTTTGAAAGGTTTGTGAGAGTTACTGAAGCAACCTCTTATTCTCTTTTATTGTGTAAGCAATAATAATAATGTTAAAAAAAAAAAAAACTATTTCAAAACTTTGTTTTCCTTCAAATTTCAAACCTATTTTTTTTTTTTTTTTTTTGTTTTGTCGACGTCGTTCATAAGTGGAATTTTTCGACGTTCGCTAGATTTTGAAGGCTCACCGTACCAGTCGAAGCTCAGGTTGGACAGAAGTTGAGTCCGCTTACCATGGGAGAGCAGGCCTCCAAGCTCGGTGACGAGTCCGGCGAGCAGAGGAAAGTATGGGCTCCAGCCGATGTCTGTCGCGTTGGTCACCAAAATGTCGCCGGGCTGCAGGGAAGGGATGTCACTGACTTGCACGCTGTGTTCTGCACTCCAACTCGAGCAATGAGGGCGAACAAGCGAGCAGCGGCCGCGCTGCCAGCGCCACAGAGCGCAACCCTTGCGAACCAAAGAACGAATCAACCACCTCCCTTTCATGAGATGACCTCTCTGCGCGTGGGGGAAGAGCAGGATCACGCGGCGAAAGTATGAATGGTCCCAGGAGCATCCACCGCACTCTCATTTTGGGACTCAAATGTGAATAAAGAAAGTTGCGTAGCTAGAATATCGTATTGCTTTTCCTTTCGCCGTCAACTCCTCATCGTCGAAGAAGGAGTGACGTGCTCAGAAAACGCAACCAAACCTTACAGAAAAGCGGATCTGCAAAGAGTCAAGCGTTAGGCTGAACAAGCACGGGCTATATAGGTCTTACACCAAAGCCTGAAGAGCAAGAAGCATTTTGACCCTTTCACGGTAATGTGAGGCAATCGTCTTGCCCGTCCTTGTGTTTTGTGTTCTTTCCAATATTTATATTAGTTCAGCAGTGTTTAACTGTTTGTTTTTATAAAATGATAACTGTTTAAAGGGGCTGTACAGAAATATTGTGTAGGAAAACTTCTTAGTTTACTCGAGCTTGCTCTTATTAGAGGAACCCAAGTACATCCGCATGCAACTCCCCTGGCCAAGAAGCTTCTTTGTGACCCCACAATGTCGAAGATAAAAGAGGAGAATTGCTTTTAGGCTCTCCTTAGCAAAACTTAATGACGAAGTCATGAGCATCGCAGTGTTGGCGTTGTCAACAATGCCATACCCAGGATTTTTTCATCAACCTCTGCGATCCCTACGGTGTTGATATTGAAGTGGCGGGTTGAAGGGGATCAAATCGGGCCATGTTTGCGAATTGAAGCAGCTGAACTTATATTTAAAAAAAAAACAAAAAAACAAGGAAACACCATCGATCGCTTTTTTCCTTCAGTTTCTATGCCTTTCTCAATATTCGTTCAGCTGGTTTTATCTAAAGGTTCTATCCATAAGCGATAGTCAAATACGGCTCATACGTGGACATCAGCACTACGTGATCATTCGATTTCAGGTTGTGACAATCAAACTTGGACAGAAATTAATCAATCAATCAGAGTTTCACTGTTTCCCAAACAGCTTCCGGGGCCTTTTTTAGGGCTACACTCCGCATTATAAAACAGCCCTGAACTAAACAAACTACACGGCAATCCTAACCACTATACTATTCTTGAACTTTTTAAAAGGTATAAAAAAAGTCCACGTGAGGGTTAAAATAATTTTCGCATTGATGTAGTGGGTAGTGTCCAATCGCTGCCTTAGCGGGAATAGCCCAAGGTACCCCAGCGTGTGAGAGCGACAAACATTGGCGGCATATATTCGGCTCCAGGATATATTACGGCATATCGTGTGTGAACGCAGCTCGTTTTCCTGCCTAGACCCTTTTACCAATGCCGCGCCATCTAGCGGCGCAAACTCCAAACCACGCCCGACCGCTGGTCATGGTCATGTGCGCCGCTACCGACAAAACCATGGCCGCCATTATGAGGTATACTGTGGCGCAGGCCAGTATTCTGTAGCGCCCGCATCGCGGATCTTCAGGTGGGATTTTATTGCTGCGGGGCACTGTGCAAGCAAAAAAATGTGAAGGATAACCACTGAAAAAGATTATCATTTCTATTTTGCTGCAAACATGCAGCTACTGACAAAAAATCATACATATTTATTTATTTATCTTAAATTCCTCAAGCTAAAACACTTCTTGAAAAAAGAAACAAAAAAAAAACAAGTTAGAGGCAGCTTTTGGCTTATTTTTATCCCGTGAATCAAAATACCACCTCCGTTTTCCTCGAAGATGTGAGTAAACGCGAGCAAACACGAAAAACCTCCGACCAATCGTGACGTCATACTAGAAACTTGCTGCTCACACGGGCGCCAAGCGCGTGTCGCCCGTGTGAGATGGCAAGCTTGCCAGGTGTATTTTCCCGCACTGACACCAGTCCTGACGTCTCTTTCTTACCTTTTTGATAAATAGCAAGAGTGCGCGTGCACAGCTTTGACAGGCGCTGAAGATGCGCGAGAGCGGAGATTCCGAAAACTCCTAGTGTGACGTCACTCCCCTGGAAGGAGGGGCTTCCGAGGTACTTTAAAAATTAATTTCTCCAGCTTCCGCGCACCAAATGGAAAAGTCATTCAGATATTTGTGATCCTGGAGGCCGAATGAAGGCCATTGAAGTGTTTTTTTTGTCAAATAGAGAACCGCTTCCGTCTCCCTTTAAGCACATAAAATATAGTCCGTCAAGTGCTCGCTCCCAATGCTCCAGATAAATGAAGTCATACGAAAGAATGTGCGCGCGTTCACGAAGATCGATTGTGAGAGCTCGTGCAATTAAAAATAACAAATAACATCCTAGTAACGAGCCCACGACATAGCTTTCCCTAAGGATACATTTTTCGGCGTGATGCATGAGCCAATTTGATATTCTCACGAATGACAACTGATGAGGCGACGTAAACGCAAGCAAACTAAACGTTTACTGGGGCTAACTTGTCTCCAAACGAAATAGAAAAAGGCTAGCGTCGCAGGCGTCGATAGCGACGAAAGAGGAGGATCGAACGCTGGGGCGAAACTGGCTCCGGCTTGATACGCGGAGCCCCCACTCTAAAAAAAGTCTGTGAGTCCACTTTCACGCACACCACTCGGAGAGCCAATCGCCGCAACTTACGGAGGCAGCTCAGCGAATGACGATGCGGAAACATATGCCGCAGTCTGAGTTGTGACATTAAGCAATGCAAAACGTCACGCTTGCATTGCTTAATGTCACCATTCGGACTGCGTTTTTTTGGTCTAAACATATGTTTCGGCATTGTCATTCGCTGAGCTGCCTCCGTAAGTTGCGGTGATTGACTCTCCGAGTGGTGTGCGTGAAAGTGGACGCACAGACGTTTTTTGGAGTGTATACGTACACGCGTGGGCTTCTAGAACAATCGGCGTAGAAGGTTCGGCGAGTAGAACATTTCGCCCTTGAACAAGCAACAGGGTTCTCGAATTTACCAGAAAGCAACATTTACAGAAATAACAAAAATTAAATACGTTTGTAATTCCCAGTAATGCTGAATTAGAGCGCAGCTCTTGAGGAGGAGGAGAGGAGGGTACGGAGGGGAGGGTCACGTATGACGTCATTATGGAAAACGTTCCATAATGCAACGAGCGGTTATGCCGACGGCGACGCCACTCAAGCCGGAAAGGGGCGCCTAAGAGCTGCGCTCTAAAAGGCGCGTCCGCTCCCAGGCATCGGACTTTGGGTCTTTGTGTGGGAGCTCAACATGATAACCACTTGACCGCGGGCGCGGCTGCTTGAAAACGTGCGTCAATATGTGGGTATTTTCATCTTTCAGATGTCGCTTTGCTTTAGAGCGCAGCTCTTAGACGCCCGTTTCCGGCTTGAGCGGCGTAACCGCTCAAGTCGGTCGGCAATAACTCGGATAGCGGTTGGCGTCGTGTTGGTCTCCACCGGCGGCAGAACAGGCTTTCGCAGCGTCAACTGGTTTGCCCGTCGGCGTAACCGCGCGTTGCATTATGGGACGTTTCCCATAATGACGTCATACGTGACGTCACGAGGGTCACGAGGGAGGAGGAGGAGGAAGGGGGGAGGAGGGAAGGAAAGGAAGGAGGACGGGAGGAAGATGAGGAGGAGGGGAGGAGTAGGTGGAAGGGAGGTGGCAGAGGCGGAGAAGGAGGGGGAGGAGAGGGGAGGAGGCCGGCAGTCTTGATGGCTTGGAGCACGGCTCGAAGTCGTCTCAGGTGTTCGTCGAAATCTCGTAAAAATACCACGACATCGTTCAGGTAGACGAGGAAGCTCTGTCAATTCAGACCTGCCAGCATGGTGTCAATGACACGCTAGAAGGTGGCTGGTACTATACGAAGTCCGAACGGCATCATTTTGAACTTGTACTGTCCGTCGGGAGTGACGAGGGCAGTTTCCTCGCGGTCGCGTTCGTCGACTTCGATTTGCCAGTAACCACTCGTCAGGTCCATCGACGAAAAATATTTTGAGTGGCGCAGTCGGTTTAGCGTATCGTCGATGCGGGGGAGCGGATAGACGTCCTTCTTAATCACGGCGTTCAGTCGGTGATAGTTCACGCAGAACCTCAGGGTTCCGTCCTTCTTTACAAGAACGACTGGGGACGCCCACGGACTTTTTGAGGGTTGAATAATGTCGTCGTCGAGCATTTCCTGCACTTGATCTTGAATCGCCTTCCTTTCCATTAAGAAGGCTCGGTACGGCGATTGGTGAACAGGGAGCGCGTCGCCGTCGGTAACAATACAATGTTTCGCCATTGATGTTTGGCGAACTTTCGACGACGTGCCAAAACAGTGACTGTATTCAGCAAGGAGATGAACCAGTTGCCGCCGCTTTGGAGCTTGGAGCTCGGGGTCTATGTGGAGCTGTAGCGGCGACGTGCTCTTCTGCTGTGACGACGAAGTTTCCTCAGAGATTGCGGTGACCACGGCTGGCGCCTGAAGCTCCTTGACGTGGCCCACGGTGGTACCCTTTGTTAGGTGCAGCTGCTCCTCTCGAAAGTTTGTCCCGAGACCAGTTGTACGTCCTTCTTGGAGATCTGTTACGCCTCGTGCGACGCCAATTCCTTTTTGAAGGAGAAGTTGGACGCTGCCTTCCAGAAGAGCTTCACTGCGGACGGCTACGTCGGTTAGGACGGTACGAAAACACTCGACCGCGGCGGCAGGTTCACATGGTCGGCAATAACTCGGATCGCGGTTGACGTCGTGTTGGTCTCCACCGGCGGCAGAACAGGCTTTCGCAGCGTCACCTGATTTGCCCCGAGGTCGATGACGGCGCCATACTCGCAAAGGAAGTTGATTCCAAGGATAACGTCCGTCGCACAGTGTTGCATCACAACGAACTTCACAGGACACGTCTCACCGTTGATCTCGACGCGAGCAGTGCATCTCCCAACTGGTGTAATGA